TCTGGCATTTGCACTAAACAGTTCCATCGAAATTTAAATTGTGATTTAGTAATGAGGTTTTGTTGAGCATTGGAAATACTTGCAATATAATTTTTTATAATTTTAATTATGTTTTCAGTTCATGGGAAGTGTTATATTTCTTGCATTTCAAAACTGTGCAACACTAAGACAACGAAAGGCATTAAAATTATGCTTACAATGAAGGAGTCAAATTCCATTTCTGGGAAATAAGGTGGAATTATATTTGCCAAACCTCCAGAAGGTTTTTGGTACAGTTAGGAGATCAATATATAATTTTATAGGAGCATGTGTGTGAAAGAAATTAATTATCACATTTTTAGGTATGTTCATAAATTGTAGAAGTTTGATTTCACTGTTTGAAATCTTAATGCTCCTTTATGTCAATGATGGAGTTAGAGGGCTGTGTGACACAATTTTGCGATTGCCCATCAAGTCTGCTCCATTATTCGATCATGGCTGATATGTTTCTCAACTCCACTCTTCTGCCTTCTCCCAGTGACCCTTGATCCTCTTACTAATCAAGAACCCATCTATGTCTTAAATACACTTAAAGACTTGACTTCCACAGCCTTCTACAGCAATGAGTTCTGCAGACTCACCAACCTCTGGTTGAAGAAATCCCTCCTCATCTTAGCTCTAAAGGATTGTCCCTTCAATCTGAGGCTGTCCCCTTGGATCCTGGACTCTCCTACTAGTGGAAACACTTTCTCCATGTTCACTCTATCCAGGCCTGTCAGTGTTCTGTAATTTTCAATCAGATCCCCCCTCATCTTTCTAAAATTCATGGTGTACAGACACAGACTCCTCAACCATCCTCATATGGCAAGCACTTCATCCCTGAGATCATTCTTAGAAACCTCCTCTGGACCCCCTCCATGTCCAGCACATCCTTTCTTAGATACAGTGCCCAAAACTGCTCACAGTGTTCCAAATGTGATCTGACCAGAGCCTTGTAAGGCCTCAGTGGTACATTTCTGCTCTTGTATTTTAGCCCTTTTGAAATGAATGCTGACATTGCTTTTGCCTTCCTAACTACCAGCTGGACCTGCATGTTAACCTTAAAGGAATCCTGAACTAGGACTCCTAAGACCTTTTGTGCTTCTGATTTCTGAAGCCTGTCCCCATTTATAATTTAGTCTATGCTTCTATTCTTCCTACCAAAGTGCATAATATACACTATCCTACATTGTATTCCATCTGCCACTACTTTGTCCCTTCTCCTAGTCAGTCCGAGTCCTTCTGTATCCTCCCTACTTCCCAAACACTACCTGCCCCTCCATCTATCTTGGTCTCATCTGCAAACTTAGCAACAATGCCCTCAGTCCTTTCATTCAGGTCATTAATGTGTAACCTGAAGAGTTGTAATCGCAACCCTGACCCCTGCACAACTCCACCGGCTACCATCCTGAAAAAGACCCCTTTATCCCTACTCTCTGCCCCCTCCAGTCAGCCAATCCTCTATCCATGCCATTAATTTACCCATATAAGCACGGGCTGTTGTCTTATTTAGCGGCTTCCTGTTGGAACTTCGTCAAAGAGCTACTGGAAATCCAAATAGATCATGTCCACTGGCTCTCCTTTCTCTAAGTTGCTCGTTACCAACTCAAGAATTCTAACAAATTTGTCAGACATCACCTCCCCTTGATGAAGCCATGCTGACTGAGTCCTATTTTACCATGCTCTTCCAAGTACTCCGCAATTTCGTCCTTAGTAGTGGTCTCTAAAATCATAGCCTGAGGTCAAGGCATCTGGCCTATAATTTCCCATCTTCTATCTCCCTCCCTTCTTAAACAGGGGTGCTATTTTAGCCATTTTCCAGTCCTCTGAGACTGTCATTTGACTCCATTGATTCCTGAAAGATCATCACCAATGTTCGGCAATCTCCTTGACTATCTCCTTTAAAACTGTGGGGTGTAGTCCATCCAGTCTGGGTGATTTTTGCTCCTTCAGACTCTGCAGATTCTCCAGCATCTTCTCCTTAATGATGACCACTACACTCACCTCTGCCCCCTGACTCGCTTGAAGTTCAGGTATGTTGCTGGTGTCTTCCACCGTGAAGACTGATGCAAAGTACCTATTCAGTTCCTCCACCATTTCTTTGTTCCCCCTTTCTACTTCTCCAGCTTCATTTTCCATTGGTGCAATGTCCTCTCTTGCCTCTCTCTTATCTTTTATATATCTAAAAAAAGCTCTTGCAATCTTCTTCGATATTACTGGCTAGCTTAGCCTCATATTTCATCTCCCCCCACCATTGCTTTTTAGTTATGCTCTGCTGGTTTTTAAAGACTTCCCAATCCTCTGCCTTCCTGCTAACTCTTCACCACCTTGCATGCTTTTTATGTTGCTTTTTCACTGTCCCTGACTTCCCTTGTCAGCCAGGGTTGTCTCATCCTCCCCTTAGTATGTTTCTTCTTCCCTGAGGTGAATTTCTGCTGTGCCTCCTGAATTACCCCAGAAACTCCTGCCATTCCTGCTCCACCATCTTCCCTACTAGGCTACCCTTCAAAACAACCATAGCCAGTTCCTTCCTCGCATTTGTAGTTATCTTTACTCAATGGTAATACAGTTATATCTGATTCCAGGCTTTCCCTCTCAAACTGCAGGGTGAACTATGTCATATTATGATCACTGCCCCCTAGGGGTTCCTTTACCTTCAGCTCCCTAATCAATCTGCTGCATTACACATCACCAAATCCAGAATTGCCTGTTCTCTAGTGGGTGCTACCATGAGTTACTGCAAAAAAACCTTCTCATAGACATTCCACAAGTTCCTTTTCTTGGAATCCACTACCAACCTGATTTTCCCAGTCCACCTGCATATTGAAGTCCCTCACAATTATTGTAATAGTGCCTTTCCTACATGCCTTTTCTGTCTCCTGATTTATTTTTGGTCGCACATCCTGACTACTGCGAGGATACCTGTACATAATTCCCATCAGGGTCTTTTTTCCTTTGCAGTACCTTGACTTTACACGCACTGATTGTATGCTTTCCATCCCTACATCACTTGTTGTTATTGATTTAATTTCATTTCATACCAACAAGACAACCCTGTCCCCTCTGCCCATCTGTAGGACGTGTATCCTTAGATGGTTAGTTCCCAGCCCTGATCCCTTTGCAGCCATATCTCTGATACCCACAACACCGTACCTGCCAATTTAAATCTGGAAACATCAGGAAAGTTTTTGGAAGCACTGGGCATGGATCAGACAGGAAAACGTTCATTTTTTAGTGCAGTTTCACAACTCGCAGAAGGTCTGTGAGGTGACTTGCAGTGATTTCCAGAGTTATTGTATACTTAGTTCTGACTTGTCTCAGCATTTCAGAGTTTTACTGTCCATATAATTCACCCATAACAATGTAGAAGGAAATTAAGGAGGTATACTCTCGCTAAACTGTTAAACTATGTATGTCATGATGACAGTTAGGGCATGCAGATTGAAAAAATATCATAGGAGCAAAAGTAGATTTGTATGATAACCAACTGAATTACCTGGATAGCATGCATAAAATGAGTGCTCTTTTTCTACTGTTCTTCTTGTTTTCCTGCTTTATCATTTTTTTTTGTTTTTGTGTGCACTTTGTAACCACTTCATTGATCCTTCTGAATGACTTCTTTATACTTTTCCATTTTAAATTTATCATTCTGTCTACTCTTTGCATTGTGTGATTGTTTGTTCCTTCATTTGCTGCAATTCTATGATTTAATGTGTTTGCTTTTTCCCGGTCCCAGCAGAGTTCTCATTATTTTTTGTTGTAGCTATCTTTTTCTCTCTGCTAATCGGTGTTCGTTTGTGAGGCAAGGTCAGTACCTGAAAACAATTGATCAGTGATATAAAAACAGGGAAGCTTTGAATCCTTTTCTAATCCTGTTTAAGCTATGCTTCCAAATGTGCTCATTGAGTTACTGTTACTTACCCTGGATTTTCTTGTTTATCAGAGTCCAAAATGATTTTGCCATTTTTTTCCTGTCGTGATGTGTTTCTTTTATGGATCCCATTCCAAACAATGACAATGCATTGATGAAATGGAACAAGAGTGTTGGGACTTGAATCATTACACACGGTTCCCTTGAAACACTGCTGGCGAAATGATTATATCTCTAACATTAATTAAGTCAGCTTCTGACATTATTGGGCATGATAATTGCCCTGAGCTCAGATATTAGACAATCAGCACCAGAAGTTTGAACAAAATAATAGTACATCACCCGCTCATGATCTGTCGGATGTTTCAGGCACAATATCTCACCTTTACCTGGAGAGTTGTGAGTCTGTGGGATTCTCTGCTCCAGAAAGTGGTCAAGGCTAAAACACTGAATATTTTCAAGAAGAAGTTAGATGTAGTTGTTATGGCTAAATGAATCAAAGGCTATGAGGAGAAAGTAGGAACAGTGCACTGAGTTGGATGATTAGCCACGATCATATTGAATGGCGGATCAGGTTTGAAGGGGTGAATGGTCTACTCCTGCTGCCATTTTCTGTATTACTCTTTCTTTTAACATGGTTTTCCTGTAACAGCAATATATTATGGATTAATCCATCATTGATTTTATAAGTGCAGAAGCAATAGATGTGACACTTGAGATGTCAGTGTGAAAACAATTGTGAGATTCTTGACGATGACAGTGTTATTGACATTGAAGATACACTAAATTGCAGTCAAGATCCTGCAGACTAATTTGGAACAGACCCAGTTAAAGCATGAAGCGATGGAGCGATGCACAAAAGCATAGCCTGAAGATATGTAATATCAATATTGACAGCTGGAAAATCTTTCAGCATGTCACACTGGTTGCACGTAGAGAACCTTGCCTTTATCGGTATCACAAGTACAGCATGCTGACCTTCTGAAAAAGAAACCTGAAATGCCAGTAGCAGAGTACTGGAAAAGTGAGAACTGCAGTCTTGACATTAAAAATGAGATTTTGAGGAACAGCACAATGTTCAAATTTCAGTGACCAAAATTCTTAGGTGATTACACTTACCTGGCAGGGGAGATACCATGATGACTAAGGTGATTCTCCCAGGATGACGCTATCCCATTGCACTTCAGGTGTGCTGACGCCTGCAATGGTCCTCAAATGTGGGATACTCGACTGCAAAATTTGTGGCAGTGGGGGACTGCGTTCGCGCAATTATTTTTGGGCAGCACAGTGGCTCAGTGGTTAGCACTGCTGCCTCACAGCACCAAGGACCTGTGTTCGATTCCACCCTCGGGTGACTGTCTGAGTTTGCACATTCTTCCCGTGTCTACCTGGGTTTCCTCCAGGTGCTCCAATTTCCTCCCACAGTCCAAAGATGTGCAGGCTAGGTGGATTGGCTGTGGTTAAATTGCCCATAGTGTTCAGGGATGTGTAGATTAAGTGGGTTATAAGGGGAATGGGTCTGGTTAGGATGCTCTGAGGGTCAGTGTGGACTTGTTGGTCCAAAGGGCCTGTTTCCACACTGTAGGGATTCTAAGAATTTTTTGGCGGACTAAGTGGGATCTTGCAATAATCATCAGCACAGGCATCGACCACTTCTCCCCTAAACAATAATGTCATTTTTGAGTACAGAACATAAATTGGCTAACAATCAAAGAGCAGATTTTCTATTTAATCAAACCTGGGAATGTTCAGTTATTGTGAAGTTAAAATGAAATGTGGGGGAAGAACTCCAAGCGTTTGGCCTTGGGGCTGTTTAGTAGCAATGACCAGGAGTAAAGCGGCAAGATGTAAAATGTGAGTGGTTTGGTCAGGAAATTTGAGAACACGAGTTCTGTGCTGTGTTTTCCCTCACTGTTGATGCTGGTTGTTTGTAAATGAATGCCATGTAATGTGGTTCAATGTTGTGTACTTGAATGTTGCCAGTTCACAGGAACGGCACAAAACATCACAGCTTCTATGATGCAGCTCTCTTCATCTCTTCCAATCTCTCACAGTCTGTCTGTCAAAATAGGTCAAATTTTAAGATGCCTTGACTTTTCAAAATGTGATGCGACACTACACATTGTGCGTCTGTGCAAGATTATCCAGTAAACATGTGTATCACTCACTTAAAATGGTAATTTGCTTCTGCAAAACATATGTCCTGCTTGAATTGTGTCATGAAGCCTTTTACACATCTGCAGTTAACCTATATGCATAGATTTTACATTTTCCTGGCATTTCGGCATATCTTCAGGGTTTGAGTGCTCCACACAACACAAGGATGTGCCCAGAACCTGGCCAATTTCTAATGTCCAATTATTGTATATCAATAGGTAGGCTACTAGGCCTCTGTTTGGAAGGTGGAGGAGGAGATTTGTGAACAGAAAATAAACCTTACTCTTGCAAACTGTTTACATGATGGAAGATTTCATCATATGCTACTGCCAGCTGGGGGCAGAAGCATTAATCACAGATCCTGGTGTTGCTCTTAGCTCCTTCCTTATGTCAGTTTGTTGCTTCAAGACTGAATATCTTTTCACCATTGAGGAATTTGAAAATTTGGTTCCTGTTTTGAAACTGTGATCCTCCTTCACTTGCAAGAAATAAGCTTTCTTGACCTTCATGGTGCCATTGGCCCAGGTTTAGCAGTGAAGCGTCAGCACTCACTACTAACCTTGAAGAAAGCTCCAGGCAAAGAAAGAACAATCTCCATGACATGGATTCTCCCTTACCTCATCTTAATTTCATTCTGGTGCCAGGTATTGGTCATCTCTTTCCCTGTAGCAACAATTATGTCATCAAGTAACCAATCTTATTGAAGAATTCTCACATCGAATGAGTGAATAAATAGCATAGCTAATCCTTTTTACTTTGTAATCCTTTTACAGAGAGGCAGATTAAGATTTGGAAATATATATGGTTACATTTTCAACTCTAAATATCAGCTTGGAATTGGGATGTGAAATGCTAAGCTTGTATTTTCTTTAGAAGAAAAGCAATTTTCCTCTGCCTTCCAGACAGCATGTTTTTGTGTTACTGTATTTTGCAAGTCAGGATGGCCTGGTATGCAAAATACACACATGCCTCTTTGAAGTTTGGGAACCTCATTATGAAAATGACTGGGAAGTTTTGTTTCCTTCTGGATGCCATTTTAGAGGGATAGTGTGGAGTTTGAAATCTCCAAAAATACCCATCTCCTTAGAGAAGTCTTAACACTTTGGGGAAGCCTGCTAGGGGTTAGAACATATCTTGACACTTTAAAATATCACTATTAGGTACTAATTGCAATGTAAATCTGTTTCAAATGTATTGATTCATCATGGTGTTTATCATGAGAAAGTTGACACCTAGGTTTACTGGACTAATACCTGAAAAGTGCTGATTGTCTTTTGTGGAAAGATTGGTCAGGCTGGGCTTGTATCAGCTATAGTTTGGAATGGTAAGAAGAGCCTTCATTGAAACCTAAAGTCCTGAGCAATCTTGACAGAGTGGTTATGGAAAGGATGTTTCTTGTTGTGGGAGAATATGGAACTAGGGGTCACTTTAAAAATCAGGGGCCATTCATTTGAGACAGAGGAGACATTTTTTCCCCTCTCAGAGTCACGGTTCTTTGGAACTCCCTTTATCAAAAGGTGCTGGAAGCAATCTTTGAATACATTTAAGACAGCAGTAGATTGATTCTTGATAAGGGAGGGGTTGAAAGGTTGTTGAGGATGTGGAATAATCACATCAGCCACAATCTTATTGAATGACAGAACAGGCTTGAGGGACTGAATGGCCTACTCCTGGTCCTAATTCATATGTTTATATGCTTCTGCCCAGCATACCTTCATACAACACAAGCAAACCCAGATTGAGTGGCTGATCTCTGTGATTACCCACAGCACATGCCTGACTTCACAACCCTTGTGCTGTCTGCCTTCACACATGAGAGTCAAGAAATCCATGCAATCATTATCACCTTTTATATCCTAGTGCCTTTGCAGGAAAAATTTGCATCAAACAGAGAGAAGACTGTGATGACAGCTGAAGGGAATCTAGCTGATGTATGTGAATTTGGTCAGATTGTGAACAGAATCCTCTAACAATAGGGTCAGGAGTTCCTGGAGCACGCTGCTCATGGGGGATCGGAAGCTGTCATCGAGCACAATTTTTTTCATAATTGCATAACTTGTTTTAATCTGAAAAACAACTTTTCTATGACTGCTTTCTGTCTCTTAGCCAATTTTGTATCCATTGCTGTCACTGTACCATTAATCCCATGTATTTCAATTTTGCTAACATGTCTAATGGGGCATGTCGTCAAAGACCTTTGCACATCAACATTTCCACAGCACCCTGTCCCAATAACATTGTGTGTTTGAAGACTAGCCAAACTAGGATCCTTGCTTGAAACGAGTTGTTCCCAAAAACTAACTGAAATGAAGGGTTTTGGATTTTTGGAGCCTGAATTGGAAGACAGCTGAATAATTGCAACATTGTGCATCTGATGTCTCCTCTGCTTTTCTGATTACATTAGCTTTCCTAGAAGTTGAGAAATTGGGGTTTGGGAAGGTACCTCTGGCCTGGAGCTCACTTGCTGTCTTTAAAATACTAATTAAGATACACAAAAGCTTGTTTAAGGCCCTTCCTTGTTAATGGTTTATATTTTCCTGGAGGCTGCTGACCTTGAGCAGCTGTCTACGAAAACCCACTGAATGTGAATGAGGACTGAAATGAAGAAAGAAGTGTTTGTAAGGGTGGCTCATGTTTGTATGTCAATAACCTGACACCCATAGCAAGCATGGTAAACAACTGAATAAAAACTGAAAGAACTGCGGATGCTGTAAATCAGGAACAAAAGCAGAAGTTGCTGGAAAAGCTCAGCAGGTCTGGCAGCATCTGTGAAGAAAAAATCAGAGTTAA